GAATATAAACCTATGTTCTGATGCTGCTTCTTTGCAACTTGACACACTCTATACCTCTCCACATGCCCAACCACATTTCGCCTAAGTTTGGGCCAATAGTACCTCGACTCCACCAACATAATAGTTTTGTCTCACCCAAAGTGTCCTCCAAGGCACCCACCATGTAGCCTTGAAATAAGGACCTCTTTAAGAGAATCGACGGGAATAAACAATGATTCCCTTTGAACAGAAACCATCTTGTACCACATGCCTCCTACAACTCCACCTTGGTGCTACGCCCAAATCTCTCCAAAATCATCATCATGTAGACTATCAAACCTTGTCACCATAGCTGCCATAGTGGTCAAAAGTGAGGCTCTGCGACTCAAGGCACCCCGACACCATAGCTGCCAGCCTTGTGATGAATCACAATGGTAAACTCCAGCAAATATGCCACCGACCTAGCATGCCGGCAGGTCAGCTTATGTTGCTCATTAATATACGTAGCGCCTCATGATCTGAAAATAAAAGAAGCTCCCGCTAAACAAGAAAATGAGGTCAGTGTCTCAAAGCCCGAATGATTGCATAAAATTCCACCGCATATTTGGAGTACTGTCAGCACATATCATTCAGCTTCTTGCTAAAATATGCGATTGGTCTACCCTCCTGGCTCAAAACAGCCCTAATGCCAACATGCAATGCATCACACTCTAGCTTATCAAAATCTAGCAATGCTAACACGGGTGCCTCAGCCACGGCTGGCTTAATCCTCTCAAAACTCTTTTCTGCTTGTGGTCTATTCGAAAGAACCCTTCTTCAAATAGTCAGTGAGTGGTACTATGATGGTGCTCAATCCTTTAATGAACCGTTGATAAAAAATTGGCCAGGCCATGGAAACTACGCAGATCATGGATGTAAGGGTGGGCCATTCTCTTATCGTTGCCACCTTTCTCTCATCCACCTTGATTCCCTTAGCGAAAACCACGAAATCCAAGAAAATTAAATTGCTGGTCATGAATTCACACTTCTTCATATTTGCATACAGCTGCTCCCCTCATAACAACTCCAACACAGGCTTTAGAGGGTCCATGTGTTGCCTTTCACTAGTGTTGTGTATGACGATATCATCAAAGTATACCAAACTTTTCTATATATGGCTAATGGACTTGGTTCATGAGCTCCATAAAGGTGCTAGATGCATTTGATAACCCGAATCGCATAACCAGCCACTCATACAATCCCTCTCATGTCTTAAACAACCTCTTCCATTCATCACCCGACCTGATTGTGATTTGATGGTAACCACTTCTCAAATCTATTTTAGAGAAAATCGTAGCCCCTACCAACATGTCCAACATATCATCCAAGCGCAATATCGAAAGGTGGTATTTTATGATGCTTTTATTAATTACCCTGCTGTCGACACACATGCGCCAAAAACCATCTTTCTTGGGTGTCAACAATGCTGGCACTGTGCATGGGCTCATGCTCTCCCTGATAAATCCCTTTTTTAGCAACTCTGAAACTTGCTTCTGTAACTCCTCATGCTCCTTGGGACTTATTCTATAGGCTGCTTTATTTGGGAGGCTAGAACCAGGGATGAGGTTGATGTGATGTTGGATGTCTCGCATAGGACGCAATCCCTCTGGTAGATCATCCATTATGACATCATTGACCTCCCTCATCAATTGCTCTAGCTTAGGAGGAACGGAACTAATGGGCTTTTCTTCAACTAGCACTACAACATACAACACACACGACTCACGCAAATCCCCCATGAACTCTGTCAAAGATAAGGGATTAGTGTTGTCCTCTTCTGATTTTGAAGAACTTTCCATCTTAGAGAGTTCCAGAATCACTTTAACTCCAACCTTCACAAAGGAGTAAGACTTTTGAAACCATCATGAGTGGTATGCCTATCATACTGCCATGGTCTCCCCAACAACAAATGGCAGGCGTCCATAGGCACTACATCTCCCCATATTTCATCTTTGTATTTTTCCAATTGAAAAAGAAACAAGACATCGTTTAGAAACAACTACCTCAACACCCTCCTTGAAGCATGCAATTTTATAAGGCTTTGGATGGTTTTTTGTCTTGAGCTTAAGCTTGTCAACCATCTCCTGAGAAACTATGTTTCTGTAATTCCCTCCAATGACTAGATTACACACATTCCAATATACAATAGAACGTGTATGACAAATGTTTGTGCGCAACCAGTCATTTTCCGCCACGACCCAAGGCATAGTCATGCTGCACCAGATCACTAATGCCTCCTCATGATCACTATAAGCCACTTTTAGGTCCTCTTCATCAACAAGCTCATCATAAATGGGATCACCTTCAAAAGAATGCTTCCTATCCTCATCATAAAACTCCTTAAAAATGTTAACAAACTTGCGATTTGGGCACTATGATGAGACGTGCACAATCCCCAAACACTTGTCGCACTTGATGTTGCTACTGACACCCCTTTCAGGTTGCCCTACTCCTGAACAACCCCTTTTTAGTCCAAGGCACCTTGCTGGTTGGCTGTTCCAGTATGCGCGATGTCGAACCAGCACCAGTAATGCTACCTTTTCTTCCAAAATCACCACCACAGGGAGTTGCCCTATTTCCCCCATCACACGCACTTGCGCCCCACCTGTTCGAGGGTTGTTTTTGCTGAGTTTCAACCCTCTTTGCAAGGTCATAGACCTCATCAAAGGTCCAATTCTGCTGTAAAACTACCATATCTTTAATTGATTGGTGTAATTCATTCAAATACCTGCCAATGGACTCCTCCTCCCACTCAATCACATCACTACGGGCAGTCAAAAGGTGAAACTCATCTGTGCATTCATCTACCAACCTATCTCCTAAGCACAACACATGCATCTTTCGATACAAAGACTGCAAATGATTTTTAGGTACATATGTTTCCTTGAATTTCTTTTTCATCTTCTCCCAAGTATTAATTTTGGGTTTTCCCATTCTCTCTCGTCTTGCTTTCAGTTGTTCCCACCACACCAAAGCACCTTTATTCAATTTAATGGCAATAATCCTCTCTTGTTTTTTTATTTTTTTGAGAAAAATAATCTTCACTTGTTTATTTTCTGGCACATCCTTGTAATCAAAGACCCTCTCTATTGTGTTTAATCAATATATAAAGTCATAGTCTATAAAGTAATCTGGCTGTGACTTTCCTTAAAAATCAGGAATGTCTACTATTAGATCTATGGATTTTGAGTGTTGTCTATACCTCCAAAGAAACTCTTCTTCACTCGACTCATCCCACTAAGCAGGATCATGAACGGGGTTGTACTCAACATCGTCTTGGACAACAAAACTTCATCTATCTCACAATCGATGCCTACAAGCTGCCTTGTAAGTTCTTGAACTTGTTGTCTCAGATACCATCTCCTGACCCTGCTCATCACGAGGTGGATCCATATGAATATCCCCGCCTCGACCTCGTCTTGCTGCTGCTATAGGTCCATCAAAATCACAATCCCTAGGAAGAGAACCAACAAGTTCTAGGCTGATTAAGCAAAACTTAGCCTAAAATCAGCTAACCCTACACTTGGCTATATATTCTCATCTTTGTTACTGAAGAAAACCTAGGCTCTGAATCCAATTGATGAAGAAAAATAGGGAAAAGAGGCAAAAAACAGTTCAATAACCATCACAACATGCCAAATTTGAGTGGAACTAGCTTTCCTAGCACAAAAAAGTGACTCCAAAACCCTGGATAGGGTTTGCTGGCAGTATTCACAGTTTGTTCTTAAAATTCACACCACAAAAGTATTATTAAAAACCCTAACGCCCTAGGTCCTTTTATTACGTTATGATAAAAAAAAAATCCAAAACTACCCCTCTTAAGTTAAAACATTATAAAATGCCCCATAAGTCCCTTCACTTAAATTTAATATAAAAGATCCCTAAGTGGCCCCTACTTTAATTAAAACACTATAAATAACTAGAAAATTGTAAAAACAACAATAAATGAATAATAAATTCCTTCAAAAAGTTGGCCTTCTCATCTTGGATCTCCTTGAGACCTTAGTATGTGGATCATCATAAATGGGGTCATCAAAGGATGGATTGATTCGGTCAAAAGGCTCATGGAAACCTTCCTGACTGGTCGAAGGACTGCTCAGTGCGTCATAATTTATGATGGTTTAGTTTTATAATGTTATGAAGGAAAAAGGAATACATAATTGAACATTAAAGAACACAGGACTTCAAAAGATCAAATATATTCCTTATTTTGCTGGTTTATGTGCAAAATAATATCAGAGGACCTAACTTGGTCCTGTTGATGGGAGTGATATTACAATATGCTAGACTAGTGAAGCAAGAAAGGCTTGATCTGTCCAACCCATCCACATCAGGCTTGCAATGGCCACAATCAATCTAACTTCAAAAGAACTACACACACAAATTATGCCGCTACCATTGAAACAACTGATCATCCACTCGGCTTTGATGCTATTTCTGAAATGGATGATATAAACTATATAAATTCAAATTTCTTGCTAATTTCCCTCCAAATAATAGTGACAACTCAATGAAAAAGGAAAAAAGAAAAAGAAAAATCAAGAGCATGAATTCATTGTACTAACATGATCATTCAACCCATCTAAAAGTATTCCCATTTTCTGATGGGTAAAAAGTTGCCATTTTCCAAGTAAAAAGACCCAAATTGGATTAAAAACTTCAAATTCAAAAAATCCGAGATATAACAGGTAAAAAGAAACAAGAGTTTAAAAACAAATTTTGCAGACGGATTTCAAAAAAAAAATCCCATTTATCAACAGGATTTCACAAATAAAAATCATTAACCAACGAACACCAATGCAAGAACAACCACTAGAGAATAAAAAAACCCAATCCACAGCAAACCCATAAAAATCCCCACTCAACAAAAAAATTAAATGTAAATTCACAATGATTTATCAGGAATTAAGCAAGATATAAATAAAAGAATTAACCAAATACAAAACTAAAAGATATTAATAAATAGAAAAACCTCAATTTACCTGAAAGATCCATTTGTTCATGATGATCACTGTAACATTGAAACCCCACCACTGTAGTATCGCCAAAACGGCTCGAACAAGAGCCCACTGCGCCACCATTTTCTCCTCCATATCTAGACCAAAAAGGAAAAGAACCTCCTATCCCTGCAACTCAACGGACGAAGAAAACCAACAGGCCCAATCCCATGCCAAAACTTTTCAAAATTGGGGTATCCACACCACGGCAAAAGCTCAAAAAAGGCCCAGTTAAAAAGAAGAAAAATTAGGGTTTTGTGGCTGAGTTTCAGAAAAATGTCCAAATGCAATGAAAGTAACGGGCGATGGAAGGCATGAATGATGATGGGATTTTGCAGAGAAAACTTATAGACATGTGCATGCGAATAAGGAATGTGTGCTTTGAATCTTTGAGCAAGCATAGAGTCACATGTGACACATGTCCGTGGACCCAGGTTGTGTGTTTGATCAAAGATCTATCGCGGCCGTTGAACGACTGCTCCCATTTAGACATGGGAAAGTAGAACATGCGCATCTTGTGTATGGTAATACCATTTAACTTTCTTTTGCCTCTTATATGATTTAAATTACCTAAAACATGTCACTTTTTTGCTGTTTGAGAATTGGAATTTTTTTCTTTTTTTGATAATTCAGTGGAGAAGACAACCCCTACCCGGTTTTTCAAAGTAGGCTACAATCGCTTATAGAAAATTATGCTATACTGCAAAGTTCAATATTTTTATCTTGGGCGGGTACCATATTTATACTGCAAAGTTCAATATTTTTATCTTGGGCGGGTACCATATTTATCTTGAGCGGGTATGGCATCCACATGTTTACGCTCAAAAGGTGCAGAAACACCTTTTAATACCTCAAATTGAACCATCCTCATCTAAGGATTAGAAATAAATTCTGTTTTTATTTTTATTTTTATTAAAATAATATTAAATTAAAATTTGAATTTTCACCTCATTTTTATAATTATAAATAAATAAAAATATTTTGAATAAAAGTATTAAATAAAATAAATTTATGGGAAGTTTGGTTATTTTTTATATAACATACTTTTTAATCAAATTTATTTAAACCTACACCCTAAAATTCAGATGAATATTTTATTTAAATAAAAATAAAATATGAAATCAATTATCAGCTATTAGATACGGCCTTGTGAAATCTCAATCATTGGAAGTCCACCCGTCCACATCATGTGGATGAGGTATTTTTGCATTTATATTTTAGATTTCGAGTGCAAACAAAAGCTTACACTCAACTAGCTAAGTTCAAACTAGCAACGAAAGGTGATTGTGACTTTATTGTACCAATACTAATTTTTTATATAATTGTTATAACAAATTTGACTTTTTTGGCAAAAATAGATGTGACCATCTTGTACTAAAAGTAAACGTCTTCAAAATAATTTACATATGTGGAATACCATAATTCATGTGCATTACCAGCTACACAAAAGTGAGGCATCAAATGCCGTTTGTTGACATGATACACGATCAGATGAATACTAAAGTTTCAAGACAAATTATGATTTTATCTTCTTGTATGTAGTACCATCGATGAGAATTGTATTTTTTTTTTTGGCTAAGCTGAGAATGAGAATGGTATTATTTCCCTTTCGATAAAATCATCTTTCACTAACCATGAAATGAAATTAACGGTTGATCAAGTTTAAAACGAAATCAAATTCTTGTTAACAAAGAGTGAGTTAATAATAAGGCAGCATCCTTGTTCGTGGAAAGATCCCTTTAAGAACCTGCCAGGAACCTCAAATTACTTAATTACTTAAATTCCTTAAACCTACCATTGGCTCCATTGAATGGATATAAACATAGGATTGTTCCTAAAAAACTATTTATCATTAGTATAAGGAGGTCACAAGCACTCTTAGTTATTAGAGACCAAATTGGATATCTTGAGATGTGTCCCAAAATTCGATATTTTTTTTATTTTTTTGACAAATAGTAACAAATTTTATTGCTCAAAGGTAATCAACTCGTATATTATTACAATCATTAACAACTTATCAAAAAACAAAAAATAACAAACCCACGACAGTAGAAATTACATGAAATTAAAAACAACAGTCTACCATCTATATTACATCACAACGAAACCATCAGTATTAACCTCTTCTTTTGCTAAGCCAGCCGCCTCCATGTTAGACATGTTCAAAAGAGCATACCATATCAACACAACAGTCCATAATCTCCCTAATCAAACTATGCAGCTTTTAAGGATACTCCACCTCTTGTTTAACCCATTTTATAGCATTTAAAGAGTACCCCTCAATTACTATAGGTTTATTGAACTTTTTGCCAATCGAATCCCGTCCAACATAGCTTGTATTTCAGCTTCATTTGCGGTGATAGTTCCTAATCGACCAAGGAATTTTAATAGTACAATACCTTGATAATCACGAATTAAACCTCCCATACCTGCACTTTGACAAAATTTGAAAAATTTTCTTTTGAACTTTGAGTCTAGTCAATGGCACGCTTACGATCACCTAATTTAAAATCTGATGGACATTTTAATTGCGACCTCATTTTACTAAAAGTAAATAGTCTCTTTGTAAACTTTTCCTATAAATAAATAAATATATAAAAAATAGGGGAATCTTCAAAAATTATATAAAAAAAATTTTACATGAAAAAATACCCCCTAAAAGTTTTGGGGGTATTTTGGTTAATTTTGTTTTGCAGATACTTTTTTTTATATTTTTATTAGATGCGTCTCAGTAAGATGTACATACCCTCCAAATTTTTAGTCATTCCGATTAATAAAAAAAAATGAAAAATAAAAAACTACCGGACAATCGTGACTGCGCGATGAAATTTAGACGGTAACGAGAGTAAGCGAAATCACTAT